TCCCCTCAGGGCCCGCCCCGCGCGCCCCCGGCCCTCTCCCACCTACCTGCCCGCGCCCACGCGACATCGCAGATCCCGCCGCCGCGTTCAAACCTCGCGCATGCGCCCAGGGCAGCGGGAGTGCGCAGCGCAGCAGCTCTCGGCCGCGAGACCACGAGAGCGAGGCGCTGCGCAGGGCTCGGCTGCAGGGGGCACGCGCCACATGCCTGCAGCGCGGGCTCGGGAGAGCGCCCCGGGCCGAGCCAAGCGGCTCAGCTGCACGACTGTCAAGGGGGGTTTCTCCCCCCCCCCGCTAGAACACCGTGCTGCTGCCTAAAGCCCGAGTCGTAACCGGGCACTGTCCACAGGCAGCAGGACCAGCCCGCTCGAGGGAGACATGCTCCCAGGGAAGGGCTTGAGCCTAGTATCTGCCCCCACTCCCTCGTGCCGAGCAGCTTAAGAGGGCTGCAAGGCAGCCCACACGTGCTGAGTTAAGACCTGGACAGTAACAAACATTTGTCAGACGCTTCAGAGGGGTAGCTGAGTTAGTCTGCACAGCAGGGTCTCCCCACCCTTTAATGCCAAGATCACTTCAAGTGTCAGGACAAACCAAGATCTACTGCCCTCTCTATTCTCTCCATCACTTGCTAACCCCAGCCCTTAGACGCTCTACACTGCTTTTTTTTTCTTTCCACTTATTCTGTAGGAAGAGATTTTTCCAACATTTGGTTTGTCTAGACTAGACCAAAAGTCAGAAAAACCCCTTCTTTCAGAAGCCTCCCTATTCCTGATGGAACAAGGAATACAAGGCTTACCGCAAAAGCAGGTTTGGTCTTCCACTAAAAGAAGTGGAAGAACAAACACATGCCTGGATGTGGAAGTTTTTCTGGGATATATCTGGAATCCCAGAAAAACTCCTGCAGTCTAGCTGTACCCTCACTGGGTTGAGACAGGATATGTGGGCTCTGGAGTGAGAATGAAGGCTTTGGGTGTGGGAAGGGGTAAGAGGTGCAAGCTCTGGGAGGAAATTTGGATGCAGGAGTTGGAGAACGGGACACTGGCTCAGGAAAGGGGCTCCAGGCTGGGGCATGGTGAGGGTAGAGGGAGGGTTGGGGTACTAAGAAAGCCACAGGTTTGTAGATATGAGGGTGCAGGAATTTGGTGTGGGGGGGTCTAGTGTATGATAGGCTCAGATCTGGGTGGTGTGTGTGTGTGTGTGTGTGTGTATATATATATATATATATAGAGAGAGAGAGAGAGAGAGAGAGAGAGAGAGAGTGTTATGATGCTGCAAAAGCACTAAACCTTAAAGCACATAGCTTTTGCGGTTAGAGTGCCTCCACACTGCATGGATACTCTTGTGACAGAAAACCCTGATTGCCATTCACAGGATGGCCATCAGAGCACCTGTGCTTTTTCAGATAAGCTCTTTTTGTGCAAGTAACCCCTGTGGGGCATCCACACCTGCCTTTTTACACAAGAGCTGTAGTACAAAGGAGTTATGCCTCATAGAAGCAGTTATACTTACACTGTAAAAAGCCCTGTTCTGGCGACTGACTCTAGCTTTTCTTATGCAAAAACACACTTGAGGTGTGCAAGTTTTTGTGCAAAAACCTTATAGTGTAGACATAGCCTTAGAGAGGAAGAGTACTAACACCAGAATCTACACCGACAAAGAACCATTGCCATCTTCAGTGTTTGTTTGGTTGATAGTGTCCCAACCAGCCGGTATCTCGATAGGCATGAGAATTAAATTTGTGAATAGATTGTAGTTCCAACCCTTCCCTGTGTATTTGGCTTGTGGAATTGGTTTATAACAAAACAGCAACTTGATCTCTTAATGAATGACCAGGTAAATTAAAGTGCTTGTCAATAAGTTTCTGTATGTTCCCACACTTAGAGAAATAAACCTAAGATTTCATGCTCAGGTGATAATCTATTAGCACATTAAAGGCATCCTATACAAAGTGTGCATCAGCTAGGATTCAGTTGATGCTTCTAAATGGACTTAAGGTGCACCAAAAGCAGCATACTGTTGCTGCACTAGGAAAAAAAACCTATTAATGAATGGAAATATGTAACACCTAGCAAGAATGACATTGGTTTGCTTTAAACTGCAGTCTATGACCTTCTACAAGGATTTAGGAACAAAATTACTTAATTTATACTTGTTCAATACAAAACTCAGCATCAGATTTCACACACAGACTGAAGGCTTCCAAGTTACCATACATCAGTGAGAAAGAAATTAACCCCCCTCCCCCAAGAATAAAAGCTTTTAGATGGGTCATAAAATACTGAAAGAATTATATACATAACTACATACTTTGAGCACTTTTCAGATTTGGAATACTTTTTAACATTAATATACTTCATGGATGTGTTTAACAGATTAAAATCTATACTTACCTAGGATTTCATTTCTACTGAAATGAATAGATTTAGAAACCAAACTATATAAAGAAAGGCTGAAGGCCAGCAGCCCATAATATTGTTTTGACAGCAGCACAGAAGGGTAGCAAGGCAAAACGCTGGCCAAATGGGTCAAACTGGGCAAACCAGAGCTTTATTTTAAAAAAAGTCCTTGCTACAGTACCTAGGACTGTGCCTCTGTACATAATTAACAATAATTCCTGAAGGATTTGTATTTGGCACCAGTTTACTTCAAAACAGTTTGGGCATTAATTTAATCTAAATTTGTTTTTTTTCCACCAGAATATTAGCTGTCATCATAAAGCCAATCAGCAGAGTTACAGGCTAAGTTGTCTTTTAAAGTACTGAGTTCTCATCTAAATCAGAGTACAGAAAGTTCCAAAACAGAGGTCAAACATTAAAAGGCTGACATAGGCTCAAGTGGTTTATAAAACCCGTAAAAAGACTACACCAGCAAATATGCCCTTTCAATCTGCACAGTTAAGAAGTTAATGCAGGCAGCAACACTCACTAGTTGGAAATCATGTCATGGAAGAATCGCATATATACCAACAGGAACATCTGAAATCAAACATTAAAAAGCTCCATTTCCCAATCTACATAAGAGAAGATAAATTCATAGGAAGATTGAATCCATGAAATCACAATTGGATGGATAGTTTACTTCCCCCATCAAGCAACATGTCTTGCAAACATACAGTACATGTGCACAACTCAATCCTTTTCAAACTCCTTATGGAATAGATAGTCCCCATTCTACAGCCTCTCCCTGTGATGCAGAAAGCAAGTATGTGCTCTGAAATCACCATCATGTATCACGTCACCCACAGAGTACCAGGCAGATTAAGTAGAAATGCACTGTCTTTAACTCCCATCTCCTTTGCAGAGGAGTTTGAGAGGTTCAATTCCTGGACAATTGTGTGGGCAGGGTCCTTCATGCAGATTCACTGGTCTCTGCCGGCTTAACCATATGGTCTGGTTTGTTGCCAGCAGCATAGTGATCCCACATCTGAAGGTAAAGCCGCTCCAGTTCCATGGTGTACTGTTTGGTGTTGAATAAAGGACTTGATATTCTCTGCTTCCAGACTTTACTACGTATTTTCTTCAGGCTACACAAAAAGATAACAGCAAGTAGTCAGATTAGAAGCAGACAAGAACAAATGGCTAGTGAGATATATTAGCTCAACTAACCCAGAAAACACATCATTGCTTCAGCAAATCCCCTTTATAGTCATCCCCTTAGAGCCGTGGTCCCCAACACGGTGCCCGCGGGCGCCAGGCATTTGTCTGCACCCGCCAAGTGCTCAGGGCTGGCCTGGCCCCGGGCACGTGGCGCATGCGCGGTGCCGGAGCCAGCCCCGGGCGCGTGGCGCACGGTGAGCGCCAGCCCCGGGGGCGCCGTGGATTGATCCCCCGCGGCGCATGGGGGGGGGGGGGGGAGCGAGGGCCGGGCCCGGGG